GTAAGAGAGTTATGCTGCCTATGAAGTATATCTATCATTAATAAAAAAAAATAGAAATGACGCATCATACACAAAACATTTTCGCAGAGCCTCACATCTAGGCGCTGATTTGTATTTTCTACTTGACTTCGCAAAATAAATTTCTATAAAATTTGAGTAATTGGAAATAAAAAATTATGTGAAATGTAATAACCGTTTCACGTTTTGTGAATATTCCTGTCTGTGGCATATTTTTTCACCTGTTGGTTGTAATATACTTCCCCAATCAGGGATTTTCTTTCATATTTCTCTCATTTTTGCAATCCGGCAAATTTGCATATGTAACTTCCAGGTTAGATACGAAAAAGTGGATGCGCAACTAATTTGTAGCTTTTCATATATCTCCAGTAAGTGTATTTGATACAAGAAACCAATGGAATTATCATCAACACAGATTATTAGCAGAAAAATCCTCACTATGCAGCTATGCACTGCCGTTTTTTTCCAGCTATAGTAAACAACTTACAGCTAAGACCTCCAATAATGCCATCTCGTAAGCAGATGTTATATCACATCAGAACCCAACGATGATAGCTGAAACGTCATGGAGTTTAGGCAATACGCACAGCTACGAACATCATGTGAACAACAGCTAGTTCTAGTTCAAAAGAGCTGTATAATATTCAAAAAACATAAGGTCATTGTTCAAGATACCTAATAACACTGCTGGTAACACTAGCTGGGGGTTGCGCTGCTGTTTTATACACACATATCGCCTGGACTATAAGGGATAGTGATAGAGCAAAGATAGACGGAGAGAGGAGAGAGGTGAAACAGGCGGACCATCAGCACAACACGTGGCACGTGCCACAGCTTTACGGTCATTATATTTCACGAATACGGCAAAAGGGACTCTACCCTGGTCAGGCACGTAGCAAAAAACTGGCGTCAAAAGGGGCAAGTAATTAGTTTTTTTTCCTAAGATTTAACTGCATCAGTTGTAGGTATTAGGGAGTTATTGAAGTTCCAATAAAGCCAGGCGCTAATAATTCCTGGCCGTATTTGACATCTGAGCAAGCGCAGCAAAACAAAAATAAGACTCAAAATTCATAAAGTTAGTGCCTGCCACTGTTACAGGATGCTTAAAATCATGGCACAGACAAGACTATTTTCTTCTTTTCTTGGGCGAATAACCTTACTTTTTATAGTAGTTTTCGCTGATATTTTGTACTATTCGCTGCTTGTAAGTTTAATTTGTGAAAATCATGGATCCTTTGACAGTATAATCCAAACCAAAAAGTCTGATATTTACCTACAACCAGTTGCAAAACACGAAGAAGTGCAAAAATGCATAGCAAAACTTTATAATTAATAATATTGTTGTAATTAAATCAGTCTTGGTACACTTTAAGATGAAAGTATTTGTCCCAATATTTTTAGGTCAGAAATGTTGTCATCCATGCACGGAAATACACCCAATAACAATACGCCAATACCCACCCAATAACTCTAATTTTGAAACAATTTTTAGATCAGTATCGTCTTGTCATTATTAGTGTAAGGTCGGTATTAATAATGGATGGCAGTATTTCAATAACTCCCTGTTGTCTTTTTCACGAGTATCCATTACAGTAGCAATAACGGCTCATTATCTAGTAATAGTTCAAAATTCCCCATATCGACAAATGACATAATTCTGATGGATCCGTCAACGACAGATAGACAGAACCGTATTTTGTTTTGATTTTTTGTACGCTACAGATTCATTTAAGTACTTGCTAACAACTCTCATATTTAGAAAAGTTCATTTGCATAGAAAAAAATGCTATAAGCAAATTTTACTAAATGTATACCCGATTCATTACTGCCAACGTTACAGATTGATACAAAGATGTCACGTGCTGCTCAGCTGTTCACATCAGTAGTCCTCAAAACGTGAAAGATATTCGTGGAATAGGTTTTATTAGATGCTTTCCAATTGCCAAGCCTTAGAACTATATCCACGCTATCTTCAATCTTGATTTATTAAAGCCCTATACGGCTATTTATTCCTATGTAGATGTACATACGTAGTTCCAGCATAACTGACTTATTTTTTTTTTTGAGATATAAACAAGAAATTTAGAAATATGTTTAATATTTTATTCATCCACTATTCTTTTGATATCCAAAGTTCAAAAAGGAATAGGGAGATTTGAAATCACAGAAAATGTTTTTGGTGATATGGTTAGAATATTGCTGCTCATTAAGGAGTTCAAATCAACCTCATGATAGGGCTGAGGCATTGGTCACTATTTTGATAAACGCCTTTGATGAAATAAATATAGTAAACTATGAACCCTATGCAAAAAAGTACTAGAGACCATTTAGTAGGGAATGAAGATCGAATTCCATTTTCTTTGTTACAGTCAACGGTTGAAGCGACATTCAAGGATATAGTGATTGATGATATTTTTGCTTATAATGGCTAAATTAACAATCTAAGCTTATAAAAAATATTAAATTTCTTTCATCAATATTTGCTATTAAAAAATGGCGACAAGTAGATTGACTTCTTCGTCTTCGTTGGAGGTTTCAAAGAAAAGGGATAAGTCAAGTCGTTTCAAAAAGGCCAAATCGAATCGTGATTAGGTAGGTTCACTTAGGCACGATGAACCTTCGACCTCTGCATATCAAATTATTGAAAGCAAGCTTCTTAATGTCTTTCATTGACAACAAGTATGGAACAATTTACCACCATTTAACGCATACAGCCTTCAACCTACAATTTTCAGAATGTCTGAAAACGTACGACTACCTAAGCGATGGAAGTATTAAACTCGCGATAATATTCGAACTTCGGTTCCTTAAAGATATTTGCGTCATACAAGTCCGTGTTTCTCATTCATGTCGGTGTGTAACTGCGTGTCTGTTGTGTATCAATGCGTCATAAATACTGAGTCAATCTACTTGACGAAATATCCATCGACACATCATAGACGGAGTAACACAAATGAAAGGTTAGACGAAATGGGTGGTACATTTAAAGATAATAAAATTCGTCAAAATATATGTGTGGTTATTAAAACATTTAAGTCATCATTTACAAAAGCATCGCAGAAGGATGAAGTGGTACGTACTCCTAATATCCAAATATTGCTAATATATATAAATAATTCTCCTGTAGTGGTGTGTCAGTGACGACACCACCGCAGACAAGTTGGAGTTTGTTATTGACTGCACAGTCGGCAGTGGCCTCCACGACAATGCAGTATCGCGTCGTGCACGCAACGACAACGATTGCCTAGTTATTTCGAATTATGAGCACATTATATATCAGACTCTTATCATCAAATGTTCTCCCTGTTACTTGGATCAGAAGCTTCTTCATGATAGAACGTCTTTGACTAATACTAAAGACGTTACGTGAACAACCCCCTACCCCCTACAACTCACAATCCCCAAGTTTCAACCTCTACAAGAAATTGTCCGAAAATGATCAGGATCCTTTATTTCTGTCGACTTTTGTCCCTAGCTCTGCCACCACTAGACCGATTTTCAAAAACTAAATTTTTTTCACCCTTGGCATAGTAGTAACCTTGTGCGAAAATTTCATCAAAATCCTAGCTCCGAGCGGTACTTTTCAAGTTATAGGCGGTTATAAAATTAGCGGACAGACCAACAGACGGACGTACCGACTGAAATAAGTTACATGGTTTTTCATGATGTACAAGGCATATAACATCCAAAAAACATAACATCTCAATTTCGAAATTTTTCATGATTAGAATAATTTGGCATAGGAAGTGAAAACTTCTGAAAAGGAATGGGGTCCTTCTAGAATGTCTAAAGCTATTGATGCCTTTCAGATTGAAAAGACGGTATAGAATATAGAAGAACTCAGCGAGCAAAAAAGAAGTGCACGCTTGTGAATTTTATCGCTAACGTATTTGTAATAAATATGTTCCGTATCGTTGGTTAAAAATAAAGTTAATTAGTGAATGATTGACAATTTTTACTAAGGGTCAGGAGCTGTTGCACCTATTTTTTGAAAACTACTTTTAAAACAGGTAAAGTGATAAAGATATTACCCCTTCAAAACATACTTTTATTGTTCATAATATTTAAATCAAAAAGACTTTCTCTATACTGATGAAAATGTAGTAAGTGAGGACAGACGTGAAGCTAGTCACTTAATAACAAATTTATTCAATAAGCAGTGTAGATTCCAGCATAGATATTGATATTTTTCGCTCTTCACTAGCCCTTTGTGTGGATCCGGAACTTCTCCCACGCTACTTGAACAGATGAGATCTTATATATCAGTTTCCAATAACCATCGCCGTTTGTGAAAGTCTATCCTTTCGGGCAGTTGGTGGGATTTCTCGAAAAATGACAGATGATCCGTACGTGACATAGAAAATTTTTACCACCATTTTCTACCTGATGGTAACGAATACAGGTACGCCGCGAAGGTCTGCCGTTGTCGAGTATTTCCTTAAAAAATCTGCCAAACAGATGTCCTGTACCTTGGGACACAAAACAACAGATGCTGTTTACCGAGGGAATCTGTACACCTACATTATTTAGAAATTTACCTGCCCGCTCAGAGCCAAATGCACATGCTGCCGTATACAGGTAAGTAGGGAGAGAAACAGGACCGTACTGGCAACTGAGCCGCCTTTGGCTTTGATCTTTTATTGTCGACACCAGCAGGGGTATTAGCTATGTTATCTTGAAAAGTTACATATAGGTTTTTTGAGACATTAAGTAGGTTTTTAGAAGATGTGCTTAAAAAAAAGCATAAACATAAATTTAACAGGTAATAAAATAGTACCTGTGGATCATTCGTAGAACCTGGGTATTATAATGGATGATGACTTTGTTGACACGTAATCTGGGCGTTCTGAATGGATCCAGTACCGAGTAGGTTTTGTCTTCTTCTTCCAGTTTCTTCGCTCTCATACAAGAATCCCTAAACCTTTGGTATGTGTTTTCGCTAACTTTGGATTTGTTTATCTTTTCGAATTTTCTCAAAATGCTTATGGCCTTGTCTGTTTCTCCTTGAGACACAAGCCATCTTGCGGACTCAGGTACCAACCAAGGTGTGAAAACAGCCAATGCCAAGGGTGCTGATGTGACGTAACCAGTATCCTCCAATCGGCGACGTAATAAGCTATCCAGGGCAGGATCGAGGCTGCGAACGTGAAGAATATCGCTATCGACATGTTCGCTACGAAAGTCCGCCATTTTGGACCCACGTATTCCAAAACCAGGATGTACATCATGGTGAAGCAGTTGTCAAACGCCATGCCGACGACGAACCTGCACAAGCAGTACGACCAAAACGATGTGCAAAAGGTGGTGGCGATTCCTCCGATAAATCCGGCAACGTTCGTCCCCACCAAAGCTGGTATCCTGCCGAATCTATCCGCCAACCAGCCGAACATCAGTTCTCCACCAGTTTCTCAGTGTCACCATAATCTCAAAGTTTTATTTGCAAATAAGGCTATATTACATAAATCTGCGAGAAAGCAATTGTGTGAATCTTTCCTATTTTTAAAAATATCCTATTGCTTAGAGGTTTACTATCCCTATTTAGATATTATAATAAAAAACCGTATTCAAAGTATTATGAATAGATGTTGGAGACTTGTAAATTGTATTAGAAAATATGATCATATATCGAACGCCATTAATGACGTCAAATGGATGAAAATTGATAAAATGTACAAACACCAGCTCCTAAGTCTGACTCACAGGGTTCTTTATTCAAAAACACCGTCATATTTAGTAAACAAATTTATACGTAGAGGAAATATGCGTGGCATTAATATTAGATATAGATAGACTTTTTCATTTCCACGCCACAGAACATCCTTAATCCAGAATACGTACAGGGTGTCCGGTAAACAGTACGACAAAAAAAAAGGGGGTGTAAGGCAGATCTACAACATACCAAAAAATAACCCTAGTAAAAGTTTTACTGTTTTTGAGATATTAATTTATTTTTGTCTTTTTCGAAAACTTTCCTCGTTTCATCCAGCATTTGTTGCTGCTAGGTAATTTACTCCAGTACTTTGCAGTAGCAGTCTAGTACATTTTTATTTCATTGCTGAGTACCAAAGTTGAGCAAAATAGTTGTCTAAAATCAAAATTACGAAGAGGAAATCGGTTCGTCAAGTTTACCTACTTGTATTTATCGAAAATGATATTTCAAATGGCAGCCCAACTATCTGAGAATATTTTGCTAAAAAACAGATATCCTGTTATTTCTAGGCACAGCAACAAAAGATAGATTGAAAAAAGAAAGACAAAAAATTAATATCTCAAAGACAGTGAAACTTTTACTAGGGTCATTTTTTGATGTTGTAGATCTGCCTTCGCCTATCGTCTCTATTTTTTTGTCGTACTATTTACCGGTATATTTACAAGGCGGTCAAATTATATAATTCTTTAGACCTTAGCTTAAAAGAAACTAATTCATTACCTTAATTCAAAAAAAAAGTGGAAGAAATTGTACTTGATCACCAGCGAAATCTGTTGTAACCTATAAGTGTTAACTGACCATATGTATACTTTATGCCTTTATATTGGTTATACTTTATTTTGTCGTTATTGTATACAGGTATTAATTTTCAACAACTTTCCAGTTCATATACATTTCATATTGTTAAGGGGGTTAGGGCGTAGAATAGATATAGTATCTAAATCTCGATTCCTGTAATATTATTACAAATAAAAAATTAACGTTAAATATTATTATTATTATTTTGTATTGTTATCTGACAATAAGAATCAAATTCATAATATAATTAGTTTTCATAATTTTTTAAATTTCCTACTCTTTTGTGTGACATTACACTAGCCTAGAGTGCCAAAAACTCTTGAGCCGGCCGTGGAAAGTATGGAGAGAGAAAAGTGCTGTACGTATGCATTTTTTGTTGCTAAGGATTTAAAAAAAACATCTGTTTTAAGTGTATTCTAAAATTCTAGTTGATGACTAACAATTTTTATAAAGGGTCCGGTTTTGGCAAATGTTTTTCAAATCTTAAGGCTTTTGGAAATTACTTTTTTGATAATAAAAAAAAATACAAATACAATAAATCATACTTAACTTTACAAAGAAAACGTTGTACGAGTTAAAATTATACATCTAATTTTCATATTTAATCAAACCAATAACAGAATGGAAGTACATTTTACCCAAAACCCAACTTCCAAACAAAATGCGAAAATTTGTCTGCTATATACAAGTAGCATCGATGTAACTATGCATATTTGGTCTATAGTCGACAAATTCACAATTTTTGTTTATTCCGAATCTCCCAGATGTTGAGGGTGGACTTGTCCTTATTTCGAGCCTGCAAATACAACCCCGTCTGTTCTTGATTTCATTGCTCTGTCGAGTTTTTGTACGCTTTAAAAAGCAGTGCAGCATGCTGCCGGAAAGGTTAGTTTAAATGATTTCTTTACGAACAACTGTCGGAAGGATTTTATTGAATAAAAAGATTTTTTATAACAGATAATCAGAATCTAGGGTTGTACCTTCCGATCTTTTTGATTGAGAGGAGTGCCCAAGCCGGTTCCGTTTTCGTTGTTGATTTAAAGATACATGGAAAATAACTAAAAATATGTTTTAAAAGTGTACAGTATGTGTTTGGTAATGTTAGCAGCAGAGTTTGCTCTAGTTCTTTCGCGTCTCTTCCAGATACCTTACGAGTCCGCCACCAGAAAACTGGAAATTTGATTGAATTTAAGACCGAGCCTTACAACTACAGGAATAGATCTGCTTTCTATTATCAGTAATTTTATTTTTTGTTATATACCTTTCTCCGCATGATCATTTTCTCTTCATATATATATATATATATAGGTATTATTGTACGTTGGTTATTCTACGAGTATGAGAGCAGCAAAGGGGTAGATGTTAGAAATCAAATCTATTTTGATCCGGTATTTAACAAATAACGCTGCAGACACACTATTACTCATTTTGAGACAGCCATCCATATCAATTCATATAAATGCTCTAATGAAGGTAGGACCCTTGATAGTGTATAGTACAGGAATTTTGTTGTGAAATTTCGCAAAAATGGAGTACTAGAAAAGAGACGGAATAGCGGTGGTTTGTCATACTTGACGGGTTCTCCTCTTTATCCCACAAGGTCAGCGCGGTTGTTCCGCAGGGATCAGTCCCGGCTACAGTAATGTTTCTATTACGTGTACGACCTCCTCTTCTGTGCGACCAATCCGCTCTATAGCTTTGCTGATGACATATAGGCATTCAGTATGGAAGAAGCCAATTCTTCTAATGATATGGAGGTTATAACTGCTCGGGGATGCAACGATATGGTACAGCTATATTGCAAGTACTGAACCTTGACTAACAAGAATAGCCCTAGTGTTAATCCGGTTTCGATGGATGGCAGGGTTGTTCCAAAGAGTCATTCGTGTGGTCACAATTCACCAATAACGTGCCAGGATGGAACGATTGTAATAGACTCAAAGGCTAAGTCGGAAGTGCTTGCCAAGGTTTTTGCTGCCAACTGCACTCCAACTGCCCAGCGCCCGAGTACCATCGAGTCGGTGGTCCCTACACTTTGCGTAACATTCAGGCATAAAACCGTAAGACTGGTGCTCTTGTCGCTCAACATCAACCAAGCTTCTGGTTCGGACTTGATTCCTGCCCTTGTATTGAAGAGGTGTGCAGAGGAGGTTGCGCCAGTTCTCTCGCGTCTCTTCAAGGAATCTTAAGAATCCGGCATTTTTCCAGAAAACTGAACATTTGCTCATGTCCAACCCATCCCAAGAAAGGGATCTAAGACCGATCCTTATAACTACAGGCCTATAGCTGTACTTTCTGCTATAAGAAAGTGATGGAGAGATGCATAAATCGTACTACCTCAAACGTCACGGCTTGATTAGAGACAGGCAGTATAGTTTCCGGCACCAGCGACCCACAGGGGACCTCCTAGCTTATGTCACGCAATTGTGGAGTAGACTCATCTAGTCTTATGGTGAGGCTCATCTCGTGCTCTTGCAAAGTTCCATCCTATGGCCCCCCAGAAGAGCTTTACAGATGTAAATGACGGGTTCTCCTCTTTATCCCACAACGTCGGCGCGGGTGTTTCCCAGGCTCTGACACTGTTCCTCTTACATATCGACGACCTCCTTACCTGCACGATCAATCCAATCCAGAGCTTTGCTGATGACATCACTATACATGCAGGAATTCAGAACTATTAGCCGATCTCTGTCGGTGAGCTGGAGGTTATCACTGCTTAGCTACGCAACAATCTTGTACAGTTTAATGCTTCCAAAACATAGTACTGAACGTTGCTTACATGTTTGGGATGCTGCCGTCCCGACTAAATGTAGTGATAATCCATGCTCACTGCTGTTCAGAGAGAGGCTGTCCGACTAATCGATGACTCTCCTCTAACAGACAGATTAGGGACCGGCGGGCCGTCGGCGATCTTGCTTTCTTCTACCGCTACCCCAATGGCTTTACTTCTTAGAGCTCTCCTCCATGATGCCGCCATGTGATGTGCCTGCCAGACAGACCCGTCTGACTTCGTCCTCCCATCCTAACCGTGTCAAACTTCGTACCTCCAGACCTAGCCGATTCAACCGCCCCTTTGTTCCTAGGGTGTTGAAATTGTGGAACAATTACAAGTGGAGGTTTTTACCATTTCTATTAACATTAGCCAGTTCAAAAATTGGATTAACAAAGTTTCTTTGGGATCGTCATCGCAGCCGCGGTCCCATGGCATTTAGGCTTCGTCGAACGTCGTACTGGCCGATACGACCGCTCCTTTGCTCTTAGGGTGTCGAGATTGTGAACCAATCTGCTTGAAAAGGCTTTTTCAGTTCTGCGTGCCTTAGGTAGTTCCAAAATCGGATTAAAAACCTCCTTATAGCAGTCGCGATACCCCGGTATATCAGTACAGTAAAAATAATAATATGACTGCACCATTTCTCCTATCTACAACACACATAACAGCCACCCGATACCTATTTCATTTTTTAGCCTCAAGGTATAAATAGTATCTCACGTGCGTGGTTCAGAAATATATCCCGAACGGATCTAGGAGCGCGTTATGACATCTCCATCCGCCCTTTGAAAAAATCAACCCCCTTATCTAATCTAGCTCGATGGTCGACCGTTTTTTAGGGCGCGCACATGCCTGCAGAAAAAATGCGCATATGCATATGTGCCCTTGAATAACAGGATGAACTTCGCTTGGCGCGTCTTTTTTTAGATTTTCTACCTACCGATTTTTATGTCCTGATACCAGATTGGACTCAT